TTTGGAGAAGATACAGAAAAAGTTTACCAGGATGTTGCCTAGTATGGAGGATTTTAGCTATGAAGGATGGATGGATAGACTGGGTTTGTTTTCGCTGGAAAGCAGGAGGCTGAGAAGCAACCTGATAGGAGTTTATAGGATTTTGAATGGCATGTAGAAATTAGTAGAAATTATGAGGCTTTTTCCCAGGGTGGAGGGGTCAATTACTTGGGGACACAAGTTCGAAGTGTGGAGGAGGGGATGTTTAAAAGAGATCTGAGACAAATTTTTCACACAAAGGTTGATGAGTACCAGGAACGCACTGCCAGAGGAGGTGGTGAAAGCAGACGCAATAACAGCATTCAAGAAGCACCTGGACAAATACCTGTCTGGGAAGGGAATAGAGGGATATGGACCCTGTAAGTGAAGACAGTTTTACTATGGAAGGGCAAAATATGTTGGCACAGGCTTGGAGGGCCAAAGGCCCTGTTCCCGAGCTGTATTGTTCTTTGTTCTTTGTATTAACAGCCTCAATCAGGGAACTCATGTTCTATGACGTCCATCTGGCTGACCTCGTTACAAATACTACAGGCTACATTTGAAAAGAAGTTCATTTGTGTGAAGTACTTTTGGACGTCCTAACAATTTGAAAGACAATTTAAATTTAATTTCCATTTGCTGCTATACTTTGCCCAAGTGATCATCCTCCCTATGTGAGCTTAGTTAGAGGTGCAACTGTCACCAAGTTATATTGCTGGCTTGTGCACCAAGTTCAATTTGAAGAAACTTTATAAAAATGGTAAACTTTGAGAGTTTTGCTGGTTGCAGGAGAATTTTGGATGCTTGGATACCAGATGATGGGCATAGACTGTAATGAGATCCCTGGCATTATTTCGTACATCCCCCATGTGATAAATTTGAGGAGAAACTGGTTACTTGATTTGGGTTGCTCCTGCCTTGCCACTGACTGAAGAATTCATTGTTCTGTTTAGTCTAATACAGTGTGCAAGCAACATACAATGGGCATCATGAATAAGATTTAAAGACCTCCAATATAAATGTGGCTCAAAGACTTTTATCATCTTTTCGTAGTCTTTTCAACTATTTCTCTTCTGCTTCCTGAGTTGTAAAAACAGCTGTTATTTTTCCCAAGGCAGGCAAATGTTGAGTACCATACATCTCCTCCAATTTTATACCAGGCATCTTGCTCAGTGGTTTAATAGTTCAGTTCTTAACTGCTTCAACAAACTATTTTATAACCCTTGTTTTCCCAAGCACATTGACCCTTTATTAGATGACAGCACCTATCACTGGGCACTTGACCACACTTCACAGTGAGCTGCATGGACATTTGGACGATGGGGAGATCAGCAAAATGACGTATAGAATTTAGACTTTTTAGGATATTTCCTTTCTTATTCATTGTGTCTAAAAAAAACAAGAATGGGGTTACACCTGGATCTGGGTAATAGGAATTCTACCAGAACGTGTAAGTGATCCAAGTAGACTGTCTAGGCAACTGTGATAATGATGTTAGGTTTAAGAATGATATTGAGAAGGATATAAGTAAAGCGGAGGTCAAAGTAATAAATTGGGGGAAAAAAAACTAACTTTAAGGAAATGAGAATAGAATTAGGAAAGTAAGCTGGAAAAAGTTTACCAGCAAAGAAAGAAACAGAAGTGAGAAATAGTTGTTAGTCAAATTTAAGGATACAACAAACCAACCAGTAATGATTCAGAATGGATAAAGAAATAAAGACAAAATTGAAACCAAAGAAGAGATGAATACTAAATCAACATGCAGGAAGTGACAAAAGGAAATACAGAGAGGTTAGAAAAAAAGTCATGAGAACATTTACAAAGGCAAAGCAAAACCATGAAGAAATATAAAGTGGAAGAGCAAAATATTATAAAGATAAATAATTAATGAAAGAAAAAGCAGGTTTTGGCTATGGTAACTAAGGGATAATAACCTCAAAGATGATGAGACCGAAATGTTAAATAATTACTTTGCTTTGGTATTTATCCGGGTGACTAACACAAGCATATACCATTCGAAGACGTCGTTACAAAAAGTAATAAAAGCATATAAATGGGTAAAGAATTGATAAACTAATCAATTTTAAAAGGATAAAAATAAAATCCCAAACATGGTTCAACGTCCATTAAAAGAATTTGGGAATAGTAGAAAATAATGTTTATATAGTATAGGAAACGGAGTAGTGCCAGAGGACTGGAAGCCAGCAAGTGTGACTTCTATATCTAAATAATAAAATAGAATAAGTCAAGGGACCTATTATCTGTAATGTAGTGTAACTTCCTTTCTTTATTTTCTCTTTTTTGTACCTAAGATTTGTGCCTGGATACTTTGTACCTAAGATGGTGCCGTGTGTAGGCGACATTGTACACTTCTTGCTGTACCCCTGTTCTTTTGTAACTTGAGTACATGTGACTATGAACCTAATTCTAATTGGGAATCATAGACCAATCAGTTTATTATCAGTGGTAGCAAAGATGATGGAATTTTACATAAAGTTGTAATGAAAACCATGTGGAAATGAATAATATAAGGAAGAACAGTCAGCAAAAATTATAAAAAGTAGTTGATTTTTGGCCAATCTTATTTAATTCTCTGAAGTAATAAAAGAAAGGCTACATTACTAGGCACTGCATGATGCCGACTAAAAAGTTTCCAAAAGGCATTTAATAAGAATCCACATATTAGGGTTACAATTAAAGTCAGAACATGTGCAGTTGGAGGATAAATAGCACAATGGAAAGAAAGCTGGCCATAAAGCAGAAGACAAAATAAAGCTTAATACTAGTTATTCAGTGGAAAATGCAGCATTCCCCCAAAACTCTGTGCTGGCACCACTGTGATTGTTCATTTATACAAGCAGTTTAGATTCAGGAATTGCAAACCCAATTTTAAAATTTGTGGATAAAATCAGATTGGAAATTTATTTAATATGGAAGAGAACTGTGACAAAATATGGGAAAAAAGACACAGGGAGGTAGTAATAAATTTGCAGAATGATAACACAATTCACAAATGAATTGCAAGCAAAGTATATGGTATATATTCAGGTAGGAAGAATTGGAAAATTGGCTTAAATGGGGTATGGAAATACAATTCACTAAAAGTTTTTAATCAGGTTAAGAAGATCATGAAAAATCACCAATAGTACAGGGGTTCAAGGGATATTATTGAGAAAGCAGAGTAGTTGCATTAAATATAAGTACAACTCGGGTTTACCACACTAGGATCACTATGAACATTTGGGCACTGGAAGGTGTAGGGTTTAGTAGAATGAACCCAGAACTAAATGGTTATATCTATCAGGTAAGATTTAGTAGTCTGGGACTTTTCTCTATAAGAGAGAACACTGACAGGTCTTTAATATTATGAAATGGTTTTATAAAGTAACTTTTCAAATCATGTTTACACTAATGAGAATGACTAAATTTAGTTATCATAAACATAGTATGACAATCAAAAACAGGATATACCACTTTTGCCATAGAGTGCTTCGTTTGTGAGCCTGCCTGTGACAAGAAGTTGTTGATGCAAATAAAGTGGATATGTTTGAGGGGACATTAGATAAACAGGTTATGGAGGAGGGAGTAAAGGGATATGTTGATAGTTTTAAATGAAGAGGATGAGCAGAGTCAATAGTGAAATCGATCTGTTGACTGAGTGACCCATTTCACTTCTCTAAATGCTATGCAACTCTTGCAATCTGGGATGGGATCAGTTCATTTATTTAATTCAGAAATCAAGTCTGAAATCTTTTATACAATCCCTACAGTGTGAAAGCAGGCCATTTGGCCCATCAAGTCCACACCAACACTCTGATGAGCATCCCACCCAGGCCTGCACCCTACCCTATCCCTGAATTTCCTATGGCCAATCCACCTAACCTGCACAACCCTGGACACGATGGGCAATTGGACTATTGGAGGAAACTGGAGCATCTGGAGGAAACCGGAGCATCTGGAGGAAACCCACGCGGACACGGGGAGAACTTGCAAACTTCACACAGACTATCACCCGAAGGTGGAATTGAACCAGGGTCCGTGGTGCTGTGAGGCACCAGTGCTAATCACTGACCCACTGTGTCACCATCAATATATGTGATTTAATATTAAATTGGGCTGTGCCTTTATCTGCAAAATCAGCATGGAGTCTAACTTCAAGGATAACAAGCTGGCTACCACACTTGCTACAGTTGCAATGCAATACTCAAAGGCAGGAACAACTGGTTGACAATTTGAACCCATTATGAAGTAAGAACCTTGGAGAAAAGCTAGTTTTGCAGTCCCCTTTCTGGCAAATCCGCACAGCAGGATGTGCATGCATAGATAGTAATTAAGAACAGGGTCAAAATAGCTATGTCATTGATTGACTCCATTGAAATCAATGGAGTAAAATATTAGACACAATCTTTGCTATTTACATTTTCATTAACACCGAAATAAATGGCTGAATATTACAGATTTTTTTGGCTAAGTGCGAATTATATCCAGCATGATGGAGACTGAGGCTGAGTGAGTTATTTCTCCACATTTTACCAAACTTGTCTCCTTAATTAGTGTTTCAGCCCTAATGGTGAGTAACATGACCGATTGCCAACCCATCTTACCTCACACCATTCCTAGAGAAACTCATCCCTCAACGGAGATCCCGGAATCATCCAGCATCTGTGACGCTGATGCCATCTTTAAAAGACCATTACTCGGTAAGACAAGCGCTGTCAGTCCACAGCTGCCATGCACTGTTCCTGACATTTGCCTAAACGTGGCAGACAGTGTCAAACTGGCACCTTGCTTTGTGGGCATCATGCTGGAGCAACCTAGAATTGAAAGTGATTCAAAGAAATGCTGTGGGAATTAACGTCTTGTATCATGAAGCTACTGCTTTCTTAGACCACAATAGATCGCCTGAGATGAAATTACTGATTTACTTCCTCTAGGAAGTGTTTTATTTTTGTTTCTAACATCTACATTAATTTGTTAATCAGATGAGAGGCTCCAGGTAAATGCTGAAGTCACCCAGGAATTGCACCGTTTGCCAATCAATCCGACAGACAATGTGGATGAAGATTACCCTTACAACTCAAGTGAGGAGTCACCGGCAGTCCCACAGAATCCATATAAAGGGGAAAGCAGTCCCTACAGAACCACCACAGGAGTCACCACGCTGCACAGCGATGGCTACAGACCCTGGAATTAGCAACCCTTGACAGAAGCCTGCAGAGAATGTATTTGCTAAAGTACCACATAAGTGCAGGCAGTCCTTTCTTGCTCTCAGGGTTAGCAAATTATTGGATTGATGCAGTTTTAAAAATTAGGTACAATTATTAAGGATTTTGCACACTTGTTACAGTATAGATCCTTTAAATGTCATTTGCAAAGATATTGATTCCCAAAATGCACACCACGGCTTGAATTTGCACTGATTGAATCTATGTTGAGAGTTGCACACCCAACAAAGAATCACAGTTAGACCACTGAAGTGAGATTATTTGTAAAAACGTAGTTACATTTGAAGCATTCTTTTAATTATATGTGGAACAATCTCTTCTCAACCTATATTAATTAGTATAGTATTAGATACAATATTGTAAAGAATCATTCTTGCTTGCATCTTTATTGATATTAAGCAAAACCTAGAAATAAACTACAACGGATTCAGAGATAGCAGGAACTGCAGATGCTGG